CATGTTCTTCTATCAACACATTTCTACCGTCCTGAGCTTACTGGTCTGATTCACGATTAGTCCGAAGACTTCATCCCTTCCGAGGCATTGTGGAAGATGAAGAGTGGCAAGAAGTGGCCAAGGTCGGAATACGTGTCGGGCGACGCCGATTTCAAAGTCATCGCTGCGATTCTCGCTGGGATGGATTCCGTTATCAGGCTGATCTGGTCGAGTTGCTCCGCAGCGATGAACCCGATCTGGATAAGATATGCAGTATGTTTGCCGAAAGTCGCGACGACATTCCGGATTGGGATGAGCTTCTGTCTAATTTCATGCTCCATGACAACGAGATCCTTGATTACTGGAACCGGAAGAGGGACACGGCAGCCAACTCAGGCACGTGGATGCATGCGATGCTGGAAAACCTGCTGAATGGATATCAGGTGCATGCCGGGGTCATGCAGGGGGAACTGGAGACGGCTATCGGTGTGCTGGTGTCCATGAATGACGTCGAGGTTTACAGAACAGAGTGGTGCATCTACGCGCCAGAGGAAGACGTCGCTGGCTCTATCGACTTGGTTCTCAAAAGTCGCACCGGCAATGACTTCTTCATTGTGGATTGGAAAAGAAGCGAGAAACTCAAGGAGAAGTACCACGGGTACGGCAAGTTCATGAGGTCTCCTCTCGACGAAGTTCCAGATTGCCAAGGCGAGCACTATCGGCTTCAGTTGAACATTTACAGCTGGATACTCCAGAAGTACTACGACATCAAAGTCCAGGCCATGCATGTCGTATGCGTGCATCCTGCGTATCTTCCGGATGGATGGGTCGACGTCGTGCCGGACATGAAGCAGGTTGTCGAGAAACTGATGGAGTCTAGAAGGAAATCGCTTTCCAGAGCGATAGGAGCTGCCCAGGAAGTCGAGCAAGATCTCCCGCCAACGCAACCGTTTGATGTGAAGCTGAGCGCTACGCCTCGTGTAGACGAGACTCTTGAAGACGATGTCCAAGCTGTTCTAAATGATCTGGTGGAGAACCTGACCGATGAGGTGCCAGCAGCGGCAAAGAAGCGCCGCCTCCTACCCGGAGCAGCGACCCACGCAGAGATGTTTCAGAAACACTTCAAGGAGTCAGCAGACTGCATCTCATCTGTTTTGGATGGATATGTCGCCGACGTCAGGAACAACAGTAACGAAATTCTCAGAAGAACGAGATCAGCGTTGAGCGAACTTCAAGCGGAATTCCCAGTCGTCTCTGAAAACATCCGGAGACTCATGATGGTTGCCGGCTACATGGTCGAGGGCTTTATACCCGAAAAGCCTATGCTTGCCGAGACTGCGACTGTGACTTGGATGCTGGAGGGGGAGAGGCATATGAGGGTCCACAAAGGACTCCTCTACATCTACGATGATGATGGATCATTCCTCGCTTTTGGCGGGATACCGCCCGAAGCGGTGTTGCACAGAGTTGGTGCTTTCTTTGTTTGCCTGGAGGGCATTTTCAAACGCATGCAGCAAAGTCTTGGGCGGAATGCGATGTCGGTTGCCCGTGCCATTGCCACAGATATGCAGAGTTTTGTGAGTGAAGCCGCTTTCTTGGATGCATGCAGGGCGGCTGTCAAACGGAAGCCACCGGTGGAACATCGCCTTGATGCTGCCGACGAAGAAGGACATGTCGATAACAATTCCGGAGAGTCGTGGACGATGGACATGGCCGACAGAGCATGGAAGGTTTCCTTCACAGTTCGGTATGAGCTGATGCAAACTCGTATGATCTCACTCATTGTCGAGTGGTGCGAGACCGAGGACCAGAGGATGCCTTCGATTTGCTATGATGATGTGTGTTTCATGTACGATCCTTCTGATTCCAGTCACCCCATCGAGTATGTGCGAAAGGGCCCCCACAACAACTGCTATGTTCGAATTCCACATCCACTGCTCGACCCCGTCATGGAGAGCAACACGAAGCGTTTGCAGTTGTTTTATGAGCAAACTTTCTGGTGCAACCTCGACGTCTTCCAATGCTGCCAGGCTGCTCTCGCGCTTGCGAAACGAGGCTTAAACGTGGACCGCTGCTTCATTGGTATATCGCCAGGCGGCGTGGGCCAGAGCCTTTATTCGCTACACCTCTCGGAGATGTACAAGCATAATCACGCTTTTTTCGACCCAAATATTTGGCACCTGGATGAAGAACTCAGGAAACAGGTCGAAACTTTCGCTCGATGCTTCATCATAACCGGGCAGGAAGCCCCTGAGAGTAGCAAAAAGCTACACACCGACCTCTACAAAAAGACGATGTCTGCGGATGGCATCATGGGCAGAAAGCCGTACGGCTACACCACCCGCATGTTTCATGTGGTGGGGTGGAAACGCCTAGAGCTCAACCGAATGATGTCCTTCATGGGTGTGACGGTCTCCAACTTCAACTCGATGTTTAGGCGAGGCTTTATCTGGAAGGCAAAAGCACGCTTCGTGCACTCAAAGTTTCTTGCCAACTACAGTGATCACCAGAAGGATGGCATCTTCGCATCTGATCCCAGCCTCAGCAAGTTCCTCTCTACGTCTCAGGCCTCAATAGCTGGTCTGCGAATGCAGTGGGCTTTCGAGAGAACTCATACCAAGGACACCTGCTACCAGCTCATAGAGGACTACAGCAACGGAGGTGATCAGTACCTGACCGAGGACGTCATGAGAGCGGCTTGTGGAATTCCAGTGCGCCAACGGCAATTCCAAGATACGGAAGGCATCAACGCTGTGCTTGCAGCTGAGGTCAGTAGTCAGGATGAAAGGGATGAGAAAGACACGGCTTGGGAACGTCTTCGAGTTTTCATCTTCCAGACCATGCTAGACGCCACGATGGAAGTCATGTCCTACACCGAATTCAAGAAGCTATCCTTCAAACAGAAGGACACTCCGAATCTACCGAAGGAGAAGCTATGGGATCAGATCGAGGAGCAGGGGGTGGTTCGACAAGGCATCGTCAAGCACAAGACCAGCAAAGTGAAGCCGGGCAGCTTCATCCCAAAAATAACCTTTGCAAAGGACTTTCGAGATCTTTGTCAGCCGCTCCAAGACAGTGAAGTACGTATGATCTTTGAAGAAGAGCACGACGTACATAGTCTACGCCAGTATGCATTTCGTCACGGGGCTCGAAAAAGCAATGCGGATGTGCTGGAGCAATACCACACTGAGTCCATCAGGGCACTCTCAGCAGCCAAGCCCGGCAAGAAGACGGTGGAGCAGACACAAGCCTGCAACAAACACCAGAGCTCATTGGACAGCATTAGAGAACACGAGAAGAGCATCATGCAGGTGCTGAACGGCGGTGCTTGTGCTGCGAAGAGGAGGCGCCTGAGACCCAGAGAATCGCTGACGGAAGACGAACGTGTCGAGGGAGTGCGTGATTCACAGGCTCCTACGCTGACGAGCAGGCAGATCACATATCACTATCCTGATGCTTCCTTCTACAGCATCACTCCTCGTCGATACAGTGGTCTGGGCAGCGCACAAAAGATGTCGAGGCGATTGCAAGTGCATGTCCTGGAAGGTCACACCGCTGATCTTGACATAAAGAACTGCTGCCTTACCCTTACGTACCAGATTCTGGGCCAACTCAAACCAAGTCCCCCTCTGCCTGGTGATCTCGCGTCCTTGCTGGACGAGATTACCCACAGGCGCAGCGACTTCGTGAAGAGACTTGGCGTCTGCGACACAGAGGGCAAGGAGATTTTGAATGCCCTTGTGAATGGCGGTGCGATTCCTCCGCACCTCCGGAACAACGAGAGTGCACAGAAATTGCAGCGCCTGTCCTTGTACCTTAGATGGGTAGCGTGCAATTTGTTGCACGATGACTACATGAAACTGAAAGACAGCAAGCAGAAGCAGTTTCCCTCTGCAACCACATTTTCGTTGATGTGGCATGCTGTGGAAGACAGAATTCTGCAGGTGTGGACCGAACACATCCTGGCCACCCAAACCAAGCCATCTCATCTCTCGCTGCACTTCGACGGGGTACGGGTCTCCAGAAATGTGATGGAAGAGGCGCAACGATACATTGAATCCTGCCAAAAAGCAATCAAGGAAAAAACATCCTTTGACGTCGTGATTGTGGAGAAGAAGGCCAAGGATTTCATGTCCCATGTAAGGGAACAGTCTACACAGAAGGTCGAGATCCGACACCTCCCCGATGCATGCACACTGGTCGGCAATTGCATTCCCTGTGCCCTGTGGCATATCGCACCCTTGCTCCGGCTCACAATCACATCCTCTATCCAGAATCACGAACTCTCGGAGAACACTGAAGCCCTCAAAAGGAGATGGAGAACATATCGCAGCGCTGCCGCCCTCTACAAGACCGATCTGATGTGCTCAGTGGGTTTGCCAGCTGATGACGTTCTGTCTTATATTTTGCACTACGAAGGCAACGGTTGTCCTCACTGTGTTGCGGTACAAGTCCTTGCCGACCGGCAGAATGTCATGGTACTCAACGGCAGAACCAGCATGAAGCTCTCTATGCTTGCCTTCAGGGAAGCTTTCGCTGCGGCAGTCGACCGCTCCACTGTCGTCACCTACTGGCAGAGACGCAGCAGGGGCGAACTCGCCGACAAGACGGGACATCTGCTGGACATGCAGGCAGGTGCGGACATCAGCTCCGATGATGAGGCCGCAAACGATGAAGTTTGTACCGCAAGGTTTTCTTTCGATGAGGACAATAAGCCAGTTGTGTCCGACAACATACAGCAGACCCTGCGTCGGGAGGTGGAGGAAACTCTGCTGGATCTGAAAGCTAGGACACAAAGAGTGAACGGTAGAAGCCACAGCCCACTATGCCCTTTTCGATCTTTTTCTGAGCTGAGACAGCTGCGAACCCATGTGACAAAGCACCACAGTGCCAAGAACCAGTATGTGTGTTCTGGAACAAAGCAGATCAAGATCATATTGGCCATGTATGATCACGCTGCCTCGTCACAAAGAACTTCACGCAATCTTCTCTGCGAAAGTGCAGCCCTTCTTCGAGAAACTGTGAAGCCACCTCTTGCGAGCACGTGCAATCACATAGACAAAAGCTTGAGATTGGTGTTCGACGCGGCCGGCCCCAGCTATGTGAACGAGGAGTGTATCGGACAAACACTGTCAGTCCGGAGGGTGCGCAATTTATACTACACCCAATCCTTCGCTGATCTGTTGATTCGTGAAATGATATTGAGCCACGCCCAGGTATCTGTGCCGCAATGGTTATTTATGTCGCATTGATAACAAGTTGTAGGGTCAGATTGTTCGATGTGCATACTTGTCTATTCCGGCAAGCCGCAGGTACGAACTATCATGACGCGCTGTCACATGGCAGCCCTTCAGAGCGGCAACCGAATCTCTACGCTCCTCCCAACACATGGCAGGCACTGGCTACCGATGCTTGAAGACATCACTACGTCACCTTCGTTCAAGCAACGAATAGAGAAAATGACCAGTGCGTTTGAGAAAGACGAGGAGTGGACATACATCAGCATGGACGCCACCCTCAAGCTGTGTTTGAAGCTTAAGGGGCAAGAACCTCACCGAGCTCCTGCCGATGTTCGAAACGCAGCACCTTTCGGAGATGAAGTTGCGTGGAGACGTTTATTGACAGTCAGAGGACGTTCAGGTGCGGTGCTGCTTTTGCACCCGCTCCAATCAGAAAGTTCGGAGCATGTTGCCGCTGCTCTGCAAGAGAACTTCACCAGTAAACAGCTGGAGTCTGTTCAATACGTGGCCACAGACAGCCCGTCTGGAAAGTTTTTCAGCGAGATGTTGATGATCTGTCCGAATATCAGATCCATGATGCTGGATCCCGTACATCTTGCGATTGTCTACGAGTACGGCTTCTGGAACAAGAAGAGCCCTGGTTCCAAGCAGCTGCGAAAATTACTTCGCAAGACCACAGCCCTCGATACCGAGGTAGGTGAGAACTGCTGGGGCTCTTTCTACAACGGTGACATGTCCCGACCCTTGAACAAGCAAGAATCCAAGTACCGCGACATGATTCAGAATTTCTCCATGCCTTCAGCAGAAGCTGATGTGATCTTCGACGAACTTGTTGATCACCTTCCTTTTTATGATCGTTTG